GCTCTTAAAGATGCAGTGTTCTCACACACACAATTAAATATATTTATGAAATGTTAGCACACATGAAATTAATTATATTTAAAAATAAGAAAAAAGTTTCCTGTTTTGTTTTTGGTTTTTTGAGGGTGGATTTTTTTCAAGATAAGGTCTCACTATATAGGTCCAACTCTCCTAGACCTCACTCTGTAGACCAGGCTGGCCTGGAACTCACAGAGATCTGCCTGACTCTGCCTCACAATTTCTGAGATTAAAAGTATATACCACTATGCCTTTAAAAGGTTTTATAAAAGGTTTTAAATAACAGTAGCATATTCTTGACAAAAGAATGAATGAGAGCACAAATAATGACTCTATTACCAATAACCTTTCTCAAGTTAGAGAAAACAGTAGGAACTCTGGAAATTAACGTTTTCTCATCATTCTGAGTGTAGATGACATCTTTTGCTAAAAATATAACTTGGGTTTAAAAACTATGTTTTTAGTTTTGTGTGGCATGGTCCTGCCATTTCATGAATGCCATCATTTCTTTAATTTATCTATGTTTAGCAGCAGTCAACAGGCTGGTTAAATGGACTTTACTACCAGCCAGATCTGGCCATTCTCGGTGATACCAGCACTGAGTAAGAATTCATTAACCAGCAGCTATTCTTCCTGGTGTATACTTGAAGAGAAGATGAGCAGAGTCTTTCTATCCAGAATCAAAGAGGAAAAAATACGACAAGCCTTTAGATCATGGGTCTTGAACAAAAGTGAATGTGAAACAGAAGTAACTGCCTTTATCCTTCTGTTTTGGTTTCCTTCCTGATGCTGAGAATAAGACTCTCTGACCAAAAGCAACTTAGGGGAGAAAAGGATTTATTTGGTTTATATTTCTAGGTCATTGTTCATTACTGAAGGAAGTTGGGCAAGAATGTAAGGCAGGAATCTAGAGGCAGTAACCATGAAGGAGGTTGCTGGCTGGCTCTCTAGCTTGCTTACAGGATCCTGCTTGGCTAGTGTTCTTATACAGTCCTGTACCATCTGCCTATAGATGGTGCCGAATAGAGTGGGATGGCCATCCTTCACAATTAATAATCAAGACAATCCCCCATAGCCATGCTCACAGGCCAATAGGATGTGGGCAACTCAAGTGAGGCTTTCCTCTCAGATGACAGTAGGTTGTGTCAAGTTACAATTAAAGCTAACTAAGATAACCTTTTCCTTCCTTACAAGGTTTTAAGATATGCCTGTGTTAATATTTATATAAACTTAGATAGAAATGCTCTCATGCTTACTTTATCAAGAGGTAACACTCTAGAAATAGAAACATGACCCAAAGTGTTTCATTACGTAGAAACATGCCACTCTACTACTGTCACCCTTTGTTTCAGAACCCAGCTTCTTCAGGCTTTTATTTGGGCTGAAGACCTGTGGCTTTCCAGGAAATTCTCTAGGCTTTCATCGCTGGACTGGAACCACTGAGTCACCCAGACTTATGGACTGAGCAGCTACCGAGTTCTCAGCCTCTCCAACCTGCAGACAGCCATTTTGCACTCCCCAGCCTAAGTGACATAAGCCAAACCCCTTTCAAACATACAATCATTCCACCAGTTCTGTTCTTCTAATAGCCCAGGCTTATTTTTTTACCTCTATCATAATCATTTTATTCAATACCTATCATACCTAGTTTCTTCAACCACTTTATATTTAAAAGCTTCAAATATTGGCTATTTCAGTTACTGTCTCATGCATCACTATGTTGCCAGTATAAATAGCTAAACTGGTTTAAATAGTGAAGGAAAACAGGCCTTTAGCTCGAGTGATTTCCTAAAGATAAAGTTGAAGAACAAGAATTTTGAGTGCTTTGAAAATCACTTGAGACCATTTTTGCTGCTTTGTTGGTCTAGTATTTTTTGAAAGCTTTGCTTAGGAAAGTTTTGTTTTCTCCTTGTTGATTAGCTGATTCTTTTGAGAATCTGGTGAGCAGCATGGTTGTGCAAACTGCTACCACCAGAATAAAGGACTTTGGTTTGGGATTATCGTGTGTGGAAGGGGTTCATGTTTCTTACCATTTCTTATATTCTGACTCAATATTTGCTAGCAAAGCACTCGAAAATTGGCAAGAGCTCTAAATTAGATATTTGAACTACTCTCTCTTGCTATACTAAAAGCTACCCAGCTTTCTAATACTAAAATGTTTCAATTCATGCAGTCTATGCCATAGGGGAATACAAAATTTGCCTCTAAGTTAGACGAATATATGAGTTATTAATTATAGAATAAAAGCTCTGGAATCAAAAAAACTGAACAACCCCTAATGCCAACTGAAACATAATATATTCCACATTTCTGTTGGATTAGAGAATACACTGGACTATAAAACATATGGTCATGACTTGGGTGGAATTGGAAGAATGAAGATTCATTTTCTAGTCAGTATCAAATGCTTAATGATATTCGGTGGCTCTCTGAAGCTCTGACACCTGCTACCTAGAGGAATTAGTGCTACCTGTCCTCTCTATTCTAATGCCCAGAATAGAAAAGTCTATGGAATGATAGTGTATCTATATATAGAAACTGTCTAAATATGCAAAGACAAAAACACATGTGTGAGTAAAGGCATATACAATTTTCACTTAGATGATTAATTTTAAAAGAAATTCCCAAATGAAACAGATGAGAGAAAACTAAAGATGATCAATAAGACAAACAAAAATGGTAGAATTTCAGTCATTTGGAGATGAACAGATTGTATGATACAATGGGCAATACATTATTACACAAAAACACACACTTGTTAGTGTGATTTATCTTCCAAAGGTTCAGTCTCAAAAACCACTAAGCCCTTTTAGGATGGACACCTAGTGAGGGTAATTAAGTCCACTCTGAGAAATGGATTGCTACTATTCTAAGGAGTATACCAAGTCTCTTAAAGTTAGATTCCTTTACTTAAGAACAGGGTCTTAGCCGGGCGTTGGTGATGCACGCCTTTAATCCCAGCACTCGGGAAGCAGAAGCAGGCAGATCTCTGTGAGTTCGAGACCAGCCTGGTCTACAAGAGCTAGTTTCAGGACAGCCTCCAAAGCCACAGAGAAACCCTGTCTCGAAAAAAAAACAAAAACAAAAACAAAACAAAAAAAAAAAGAACAGGATCTTAATAAAAGTATAAGCCTGACTTTGATCCCATTCGATAGCTTCCTACCTCCCATCTGGGCTCCTAGCTAAGGCCAGTCTTTGTGTTTCTCTGCTGTTAGATGCCAGGTCAAATTGTTTCAACTTTCTGGCCACCAGTATCCTGAGCCAAATAACCTTTGTTCTTTATAAAGTATTCATTCCTAAGTATTTTGCTAAAGCCCACAAACAGATTTAAAAGAGCTGAATAAAACAATAATGTAAAAGAATAATATGAAATGAGTCATATCTATCAGATGTATGACTTATCAGGAATGGAGAAATGAAATGGGGTTTTATAAAAGTCATTTTTGTGGTTTTTAGATTTTACCACAAATAATAACCCAAGACCATCAACCTTTTGGAAATATTTTTGTTCTTATTTGGGGAGTTGCTTTGGTTTGGTTTTTGAGATAGAGACTCTTATGTAGTCTGGGCTCATTTCAAACTTGCTAGATGGCTGAGCCTGGCCTTCAACCCCTGATCCTCTTGCCTTTACCTCTCCAGCATTAAAGTTGCAGGCATAAGCCATTACTCCTTTGGAGGGATTGACTTAAGGAGTTAAATACTTGAAAAATCTTTTAACTGAATCCTTTAAATATCTTGTGCAATAAAGTTAAGTAAAACCAACTGGATCATGAACTAGATGGCTAAGAATTGGCAGGCATGTGTGTGTGTGTGTGTGTGTGTGTGTGTGTGTGTTCATTATAAATAACAAAAGTAAATAAATCTTACTGTGATTGTTTATTTGAGTTTTTTTTTTCACTTTTTGAGACTAGTGACTATGTATCCCAGAATGGCCTGGAACTTGCTGTCCTACTGTGTAGTCTCCTAATTGCTGCTATTACAGGCATGAGCCAGCATGCAGCCTGCTCCTGTTTTGCTGTCACTTGTTTTCTTCATTGGAAGGGTTCTTAAAAGCCATTGCAGCAACAGAACGCAGTCTTAGTCCTCAGTGCTTGTCTTTAGGACTAATGCCAGATACTGCTTTCAGGGTTAGATCCCATGAGTATGCCTCTCTTTCTCCTTCTACAACTAAAGCGGCTTTGTCCAAAGGAAACCAGGTCTAGTGTCATCTTCACCCCAGTGATTCGCCCCTCCCTTCTGGAAATCAATGGCCAGTAATAACAGAGACTGCTCCCGGTGTGTGTACCATGACTCAGTTTCGCTTTCCTGATTCATCGGCTTCTAAAGGAGTCATATATAGTGCATATATGACTTTATATATATATATATATATATATATATATATGTAAATTATATATACTGTATATATAATGTACATTAGAAAAGCCCTTTAGTGTGTCTCGAATAGTCCCTCATTGAAAACAGAGGTGCCCCTTTTTTTCTCATATAAACACTATGTGCCATAAACTAAAATTGCTGTGCTTTAGATATTGTAAGTAGTATTTAAACCACCAAGAAAGACATCAGAGTAGAGCAGACCAAGGTTCCTCACTGTTGGCACTGTAGACATTTGGGAAGATAATACTGTGTAATACACAGTGCAGGAAAGGGTCTTGTGCATTTAGGATGATCATTCCTCAGCATCACTGACTTTTTACCCATTGGATGGCAGTAGCATCTGCCAGTTCTGATAACTAAAACTGTCTCTAGATACACACCATCAAAAGGCACCTGGGGAAAGAAGCAAAATCCCCCCCTCAAGTATTTTTAGATATAAATTGGACTTGGGAACTACTTTTCAAAAATTAACTTGCTACTTTCTAGAAACACCTATGGCTACTTTAAAATAAGGAAGGGGGCATGAATAAAGATAATTGTTTAATTTCTTCTGATAGACATAAATTATGACAAACCCCAACCCTGAAGTAACTAGTGATCTCAGATCCGTTAGTAAATTGCATTTATTTCTTTGACATTTAAAAGGAATCTTTGCTGCTCTAACATCCTCAGACTCCCTCCTTTCCTTCCTTCTCCCCTCATCCTCCCCCTCCTTCACTCACTCATCCTTTATCTCAGACACAGCAAAACAACTTGCTCATCAAATCAACAGATCTAGTACTTGATAAACTTGGTAAAGATGAGCAAATTTTGCATCGGTAATCTTCAGATTTAGAGATAGTTTTTGTATGACTCAATAATTTGGGGTTTGTTTTGTTTTTTCAATACTAGGGATTGAGCTGAGGACCTCGAGCACACAAAGCAAGCACTCTACCAACTGAGCCATATCCCCAGTCCTCGTATGGGTTTAACAATTGCTTTGAGAGACTTGTTCACCAAGAGGAGCACAAAGAGAGACAATTATAGTAATGTACCACATTTGTCTCCACTTAAGTGTTTTTGAAATAAAGGTAAAGTTGAAAAGAAAATCTAGACTTCTTTAAAAGACATGTTTTGTTGTTGTTTTTTTGTTTTTTACTGGTGCTTAAAGATATGATTAAAAAATGTTAACCACTTTTGAGTATCATCAAATTACATATGACCTCAAAAGTCACTCCAGTTTTGAAAAACAATTTGGCCTTCTAAACAATGAGGAGAGATCAATTCTGCCTATTAGGTCTTCCTCCAGTATTAATAATGAGTAGAACCATTCAATTCCAGCTCTTTGTCATCAGAGACAAGTCTATATCACTTTGAAAACATGATGAACTCATTTATTAGTCAAATGGCTGCATTCCATTCAAGAGCAGTTAATACGGTATCACACATTATAAATTGAATCTGGAGCAATCTCCAGTTGGCCATGGGGTGTTTAAAAATACAGCTAATTACTTTTAAGATAGATTTTACTGAAAATATCAAGCAGAGTGATATTTTCAGCATCTCTGAAAGGCTATATAGTCCTTTTATGTATTAAAATAGAGGTGAGAAAATAGATCTTTGGAATCTAGAATCTAAAGTACAGCCTGATAACCTGAAACAGATTTGGTATGATTGTTCAGACTATGGATAAAATGCAAGGGGACAGGCCAGGAGTTGATAAAAGTTTCAAATTAGTCACATTTGGTGAAAAAAAAAAAAAACTAAATTCCGGGGTCTGTGATGTTCACACTGTCTAATATTTTTCAGACCAAAATACATCCTAAAATTCTCCACATTCAACTTCTGAACTCATTTTTAGGTACTGAAAGAGAATTTAAAAGTCCAATAGAGTTGCATCAAAATGAGGCTACTCTTTCACTGTCTACAAAATATTTTTGCCTTTTAGCAATGAAAACTATAAATAGGTAGATGTTGAGACTTTGCAATGTTTTTTGAAGATCAGGGGTTGCAGATCTTGACACTCTCTGTTGGTTTGTGGGGCTTCTTTGGGGCCTTGAGAGCCTTTGCTCATCCACTCATACTTTATTTCTCTGTTTCTGTAACTGAAGACACCAGCTTGATCTTTAACATTCACTTCTGATAGGACTCTCGAACTTTGGCCTGCAGAGCATCACACGTCTTCTTGGCATCCCCTAGAAGCATGGCTGTGTTGGGTTTGTAGAAGATTGGATTGTCCACGGCGGCATAACCAACACCCAGGGATCTCTTCATGACAATGACCTAAGAACCAAAGAGAAAAGAGAATCCATTCAAGAGGACCTGGTAGGTGCAAAGTATTGCCCTGGTTTTGTTGTTGTCTTAATTGTGTATTAGTCCTTTACTTTTATTTATTTATATGGCATATATGAAAATATAAATGCACAGTTATAGGGTACAGGCAGTATCTCAGTACATGTGAGTACTACTCAATTCTTAAATCAGGTAAATGTGTCTATCTCCTTGAACATTTATCATGTATTTATGGTGGGAACAGTCAAACTACTCGATTCCAGCTTTGTGAAATATACAAGACATTACTCACAGAACCCAGTTGTACAATAGCACACAGGATTTCTTCCCAGAGTATTAAAAAGACCTGTCTCACTACTAATTGTTCAGTACATACTATTTTTAAATGTATGTTTAGATTACATTAATGCTCATTTTTAATCATACTCTTACACCTGTTAGAGGGAAGTTCTTGTTAAAAGTTTATCTTTTTTGGGGGGGTGGGGAGCTGTTTTTTGTTTTGTTTTGTTTTGTTTTGTTTTGTTTTTCAAGACAGGGTTTCTCTGTGTAGCTTTGGCACCTATCCTGGCACTTGCTCTGGAGACCAGGCTGGCCTCGAACTCACAGAGATCCGCCTGCCTCTGCCTCCTGAGTGCTGGGATTAAAGGCGTGAACCATCAACACCTGGTAAAAGTTTATCTTGAAGTGATAAGATTAGAGTGATTTCTTTTATCCTTGTGTTTTTCTCTACAAAGTCTACGAATAACATTTTCTAATGAGAAAAATAACACTGTGAGGTCATCCATTTTTCTACGAATAAGCTAGAGAAAACAAACTTATTGCACAGGCATCCACATGCAAATTCTAACATACATATAATTGAGTGGGGGAAATGGTTTGATTCTTGTCTGTCACTTCAGCATAAACTAAATCAGAAAGTTCTAAGACAAAAAAAAAAAAAAAAACACGTCAAAAACAGTCATTTTCTCTGGAGGATGGAGCTAATAGAATAGAATCCATCAACCAAGCACAATGATGGGGGTCGGTTGACCAAGAAACACTGACATAACATAGATTTTTTTTTTTTGAGACAGGGTTTCTCTGTGGCTTTGGAGGCTGTCCTGGGACTAGCTCTTGTAGACCAGGCTGGTCGTGAACTCATAGAGATCCCCCTGCCTCTGCCTCCCCAGTGCTGGGATTAAAAGCGTGCACCACCAACACCTGGCCATAACATAGATATACATACTGACATTACAGATTTTGCTAGCCTGCCAATGTCAAGTTGGTCCTCAAGAAATTAAAAGCCTCTGCATGTCTTCTGGAACATGTGATCTACTTGAAAATGGAAGAAGTGAAAATGTGTTCATGCATTCTATGACATTAGTACAATAATACAACTCTGAGTCTTTCACATACTGACCACTGGTATGATCAAAAATAGCCATATAGCAAGGGCATTTTGGATCTTCTCATCTTAAACAGTACACTTTAAACTCATGTATTTGCAACAAATGAAACAAAATTAATGGGGAATGTACATTATGTTACTATAATTCCTTTTACTTTGTATTTTAGTTTAGTTTAATTATGTGTATACGGCAGGGTGTGCAAATGCAAACTTTAGAGTCTGGAAGGTGCTGGACCTATAGAGGCTGGAGTCACTGGGGGTGGTGAGCCTCCCATTGTGGGTGTTAGGAACTGAACTCTGGCCCTCTGTGAGAGCAGTATGCACTCTTTAACAGCTAAGAATCCTTCTGGCCACAGCACTGCTATAATTCTTAGAATAAAAGCATGTCTCTGGAGCAGTAAAGAAATGTCCCTCTGCTGGATCAGAAGAGCATTTAGAAGCCTTTGAATTCTCTAAAATCTAGCAGCTAGCTTTGTGCAGGAGCCATATGCATGAGCGAAGTGTCCTTTCTTGTGCCATGTTATTATTTGGATTTTAAAATCACCTCTCTGTTGGACAGTCCATAACAGCATACAAATACCCCATAAAAAATAAATTGGAAAAAAATGTGCTCATCTTGGTATATGAAGGCGATGATACTGGCTCACTGTCCCAGAGGGAAGCCATCTGCTTCACTAGACTCAATCTGGAATTTGGCCAGACACATTCCAATTGCTTACAGCCCCCTTCTCAGCTGGGGCAACAGATTTTGTTAATCCAGCCACATAATCTCATCTGGTTCTACTCACAATGCAGCATTCACTCAGGTTCTATGGTGGCCAGAGAACAGAAGGAAGCTGGACACGGGGACCTGGCCTTCAGCTATGCTTGCACCCCTGTGCCTCCTAAAAGGCTTTGCTAATTCTCATCAAGTGACCAAAGAAAGTTTTGCGGGTGTATATTTCAAGTGATGTTTGATCATGGGAATGAATGGTAAGTCTAAAAAACATACCTGTTTAGACTTCCAGACCTCAAGGACTGGCATGCCTGCAATAATAGAGTTGGGGTCCTCTTGAGCGGCTGAATTCACAGTGTCGTTAGCACCAATGACAAGAACCAAATCCGTGTCTGTATTTGAAAACAAGAGAGGAGAGACGGAAAGTATAAAACACAGTGGAGTACTTACACTTCTTCTTAAGCAAATTATAGTGATTTATTAACAAAAATAATAATAAATACTTAGATTCACTTGTGCTGGGAATGACACACAGCTTTACCAGAAAATGTCACCAAGCCAGAAGCCAGCAGTAGGACCTGCACAGAGCTTACATGTCCTCTAAGGCCCGATTTATGCTACCCCTCCCATCGGATCTACCTAATCTGACTTTATAATTCTTTTATTGTCCTCAAATTATCTTGCTATTCACATGATTTTATAAGATCTGAATCCATTTTCAAGTCTTAAAACAACCAATTAAGATGCAATCTAATGTCAAAAAAAAAAAAAAAAACAATAAAAAAACAATGTCTAAAAGTCTGTACTGTATTAAAGCTGTGTCCATAATTCCTGGAACTGGCTGGTTTTACACATAATTTAACAACAGTTAAATTTAAAAAGGAGCATAAAATTAAAATGGCCTAAATTCTCTCTTTAAAGACTATAATTTAAATTACCTAAGGATGCTGCCAGAAATGCCATGTGCATCTAGACATACACACAATTTTGTTGTTGTTTTTTCCTCTAATAAACAGTGGGGTGTTTTTTTTCTATTTTTTTTTCTTTTCTTTCTTTTTTTTTTTTTTTAAGTTTACAGTGGATACTTGCCAGAGGGAACTAGTCTAATTTTAACAAACATGATCTTGGGCCAAACATCATTACTATTCCACATCTACACAATGACAGCTATAAAATACAGTGCCTTATCTTATGAAGTCCCAGTACTTACAAATGAAGGGGGAGGGAGGAAGGAGGGAGGAAGGGGAAGAGAAGGAGAAACAGAACACATTAGCTACTTCACTGTTCAAGACTTGGTACAATGGGAAAACAGTAACATTTCGGACATCAAGAACTCGTCCACGGAAGCACTTCCATAAACGAGGAGTCTGTGGTGTGTATGGAGTTCAAGGCTACAAGCTACTGAGAGCAGGGACCTGGATTCAAAAGCCAACTCTCCCATGTTTCAGGTTCACCTGCACACTATGCCCCAGGATTTTTAGCATCCTTCAGTTCTCACAAAAGAATAAAATTTAACTACACTTTTGATAAATCTGTTGTAACTCACTGAATAATATTCTTCACTTGTCTAATTGTGGCCTTGTATCTATTATATTTACATCATTCTTTAACTTGTCAATCTTCAATGATGCCACAATCAATTTCTAAATGTAGTACTGCCTCATGCACAATATTTAAAGGGTGTCTGAAGTGTGCTGTCGTCTCCATTGCTTACCTGGGAAATCATGGTTGATCTCATCCATTTCTAGCACAATATCATAGGGCACTCCTGCCTCAGCCAGAAGCACGTTAAGCTGACCAGGCATTCGGCCCGCAACTGGGTGAATTCCAAACCTGGACATGAAACAAATGAACAGCTGGCCTTACTTGATAGGCCAAGTGTACTGAGGTCCCAGCATCCCCCCCTGAATCTGCACGCCTTGTTCTTGGCACCTCAGCTTTCTCCTAGCCCTATCTGATTTCTGCAAGCAGAAAGGGAATTCACCGAGAAATATGGTCATTTTACAAATGCTAAAGTTGGAAATGCAGGGTCTTAGGACTTATAAATTATAACTTCGTAAAAAATAACACAGTAACCTTATTCTTCCATATATGTCTTAGGTGCCATGACCTTTCAACAGTATTAATAAATAATATCCCTTCACATTTAAAGGCATTATATTCTCTTAGGGTACTTTCTGATAAATCCTAATCTCTTCAAAACAGTAAATCAGTCTGAATTGTTTCCAATTTAAAAGTCAACATTATTCTAGCAAATGTTGCCTCCATGTTCCATTTTAGCTCCTATGATAAAAGGTGGAGAAAAAATACTATACACATAGTGTTTATGGGCCACAGTTTTTCAGAAACTGATATTAAACACCACAAAAAGAAACATGACAGTGGCACACTGGAGTATTTAAGAGAACATAACACATAGAGTTCTGTAGTTAAAGCAGAGAGGCTGAAGCATCAAGTGGTTTCTTCCAAGCAGACACACTGTCTTTTGTATATTAGTCCTATTTCTTGGCCATTGTGTCTCTTTCAACACCTGGCACATAGGAAGAGATCACAAAAAGTAAATGAATGAATTCAGAGAAGAAATGTAATTTGTAAAATCTCTTAGTAGATATTCATCCAACCTCAGCTTTAATTGAGAGAGGATGGAGAGACGGGAAAAAGGACAGAGAAAACAACCCCCATCCCAAAGTTTGGATAGAGCTTCTCACCAGCTCAGAGTCAGGAATTCCAGCACAACAAACACTTACTGTGAAGGGTACCTAGATATCAACAATATTCCTTTTTGCATATAGACATTTCTAATTAGAATGTTAAAATAGCAATGAATTATCCTTAAGACCAACAGATCAACCCTCCTCAGAGAAGATACTTCTTGCAGGAGTAATTAATACAAAGACCCACAACTCAACTCCAATACTTTGGAGTATTCAGCCCTAAGTGGGATATCTATGTCACACCCCTCTCCTCAAGGCTCGGGGATATATGTGCAAGAGGGGGAAGACAGAGCCAGCCTGAGGTAGTGGATGACTTCAAGGAAATTCAAGGAAACAGGAATTCATGAACAGGAACACAAAAAAGTTCACATTCAAGCCAGAAAAAAATCTCAGCACAGAGGAGGGAAAGTAGGCACAGACTCCCAACCATAGCCAAGAAGTCATTTGCAATTGACAGCTCCTTGGAGAGGAAATGTCGGTTTCCTTTAAGGGAATGACATTGAGTATATCAACCACATGCAGGCCTCATGCTCAGGAGTAGTTGGCCAACACAAACTAAACTCCACAAGGGTCTTTAGTAGTTTTTGTTGCTGTTGTTTTGTTTTCTTTTTTTTAAGAGAAAGAACGAACATGAGGTTGGGTGGGTAGGAAGGTGGAGGAGGACACTGGAGAAGGGGAAGAATATAATCTATATATTGTATAAAATTCTCAACAAATAAATTACAACATGGGGGGGGAGAGACTTACACATATACGGCCTTACACTTTCCCTAGACAGAAACCTACTTTTTTTTTTTTTTTTTTAGAAATCTCACAGGAACCTCTACTCACAGCAAAGCATATTTAATAACACCCCCTTACACAACCCTTGTCACCCGCATGTATATTTTACCAGGTTAAAATCCTATCCAAATGATTACCACAGCCACCCTATAATCTCACTCAATCAAAAAAGAGAAAGAGAGGTCTGGAGAAATGACTCTTCCCAAGGACGAGAGGCACAGCTCCCAGGATCCTAGGTTGTTCACAACCACCTACAACTCCAGCTCTGGGAAATACAGCACCCTCTTCTGGCCTCTGTACATACTGCATTCATGTGCACACATTCCCACAGGACCTTAATGCTCACCTTGAACCAACACAAATAACCTAGGATAACTATAAGATAAAACGTCTAAGAATTTTAGGATTAGAACATGCATGTATGGAGGAGGTGTGTCATTTAGTAAACCACAAGTAATATTAAAAGTCCATAAACCTAGGGTTTCTATTTTAGTTGACAGCCCAATATACACTCTGTGTTCTCCTTTTAGACTTCAATGCTGGGAGCCTCTTTGCTTCCAATTTTTTATTTAATTTTATTCTAGTTTTTGTTTTTTATACTGCCTTTATTATCTTTAAATTTCTCTGTCTACCATTTTTATGTTTAATAGTGATGTCTTGGACCAAGTTAAAAAATAATGGAGACTCTTGAAGTATATTAGCTCTTGTTCTAACATCTTGATTAGCTACAGACTGCATAAAGACAATGTTTCTGTTTGGCTAGTTGTGAAGGGTAAATAATCACAAAGCTAACCATCATGTTACAATGACTATCCCAAAGGGGGGATCACTTTATATATCTGTTTGCATAATAATTTATTACACTGAGCTTTAGGGCTCTGTGTTTGGAGCAAACTACATGCAAGATTATTAAAAGAGAATGCCAATGTTTTGAGAGAAACAACAGAACACATTCAAATTTGTAGAAATATATATGCATGCTGATGAGTCAACATGAGTTTATAACAATTCTGGCCCATTTAGCTGGCCAATCTCCAAAGCACATATTAAAATTAATTGTATTAGACACAGGTTGGCCATAACCAGCAATTTCCATGAACTGACCGGCCAAACTCATCAATGCTCCATCATCACATAACGAACATCCAGAGCTCTAACATAGAAAGACTACCAGCCTTTTAGCTCTTCTCTTTGGGCCATGAAAATGATCCTTTATTATGCACATACCTTAAACACTGAGTCAGATATCCCTGACCACAACAGGATTCTACAAAAGGAAAATAACTGCTAACATGCAACCACAGAGTGACAATCCACACACCCAGAACTTTCTTCATCTCTTCCTTCCCCTCCTGCACCATTCTTACAGGGAAGTATTACTGTGCTCTGCCCACCAAGGGCTCCTTGAACACATGAGCCATGTCTTACTAAGGAGTCCCTGGCACTCAGCCCCTATGGTCAGACCTTCAACGAAAAGAAGAGGACTTTAGGTTGCATATCCCAAGAAGACACAATTTTAAGTCTCTTTCTAATGAAAGAATTCAGACTTTGGGTAGCATTTACACGTATTCATTTGCACAAGCATTCGGACAATTAACTTCTACAGCCCTTGGTTTCTTCATGAGGGTGATGGAACTGAAAGGAGAGCCTCTATGGAGAGTTGTGGGATTTAAATAAGACAGTTAACAAAGAACTTTACCTACACAGTGCTTTTCACTAGCACCAAACAAATAAAGGCCTCCATAACAGTGGTGGTTTGAGTAAGAATGGCCCCCAAATCTGGGTGGTGGTGGTGCATGCCTTTAATTCTAGCACTCAGAAGGCAGAGGCAGGCAGATCTCTGTGAGTTTGAGGCCAGCCTGGTCTACAGAGTATGATCCAGGACAGCCATGGCTACACACAGAGAAACCCTGTCTTGAAGAAAAAAAAAAAGAAAAGAAAAAAAGAAAGAAAGAATGGCCACTATATATTTGATACCTGGTCATAAGTGTCACTATTTAAAAGGGAATAGGAGGTGTGACCTTATTAGAAGAAGTGTGTCACCAGTTGTGGACTTGGAGGTTTCAAAAAGTGACCCTCGTTCTCTTATGCCTGTGGATTCAGATGTAGAACTCTCAACTACTTCTTCATAACCATGTCTGCTTGTGTGCCACCATGCTCCCTATCATGATAAAAATGGACTAAATATCTGAAATTGAAGCAAGGTCCAATTAACTGCTTTCCTTTATAAGAGTTGCTGTGGTCATGGTGTCTCTTCACAGAAATAGAACACTGGCTATGAAAATAACCCAGTGCAGCAATTACAGTATTCTGTTCAAATACACCTTGATTATATAAATGCTCGTCGCACTCAACATTTTTTCTAATGTATATTTTCTAATGTTCACGTATTCCAAAGCAACACACATTTTACCTTACAACAAATGTTGGGGGTTTTTAGCAACACTCTAGGTTGCTTTTCTATTTTTTGCCTGGAAATGCTACTATAGTATATAGTAAATACTAATATGGCCCACCAAAAGCTAGAAGTTCTTTGTACTTGCAAAAAAATTAAAGAAATGATACAATCAATATAATTTAAGGTCAATAATTATTATCATAGATATCACAGAAGTCCACAGCTAACCATTCAATAGATACCAGAAAACAGGCAGAAAAGTCTTGCTTCATGACAGACATGGCAAATATCACCAAAGTCAGAGTCTCTGCAAGCATCTTCCACACTTTTTGTTATTTTTGTCTTTCAACTATGAAAATTATAGTCTGTGGGTATGACCTTATATAACAAAGATGCCTAGCACTCAAGTTACCAATTAAAAATAGGTGCAAGCACCTGGGAGTGGGGAGAAATGGAGCAATCTACTTTAATGAAACAACCTAATCCTCTGGGTTTTAATTAGCCAAGAAAAATAAAAACAAGTAAGAATGCACACAGAACTATTCATGAATATCAAATAACTGGATAAAATCTTGGAAGGGATCAATTCAAAAGTATCATTTTGTAAAGCTTCTTTATAATCGGCAAGGACATAAACCCTATTCTTGCAGCTTTTCACAGACTTACATTAGATTCCAAATACTGCATGCTTTAAAGGAGACACAACATGAGTTCCCATGATCACAGGCTTTGAAGACAGTATGTCCTAACCAGGGTTCACTGTAGCAGTTGGTCTTGGACATGTGGAGCTATTAAAGATAATAAAACACTCCCCCACATGGGTCCTACCACAACAGTTCAAATAAACCCTATTTTCCTTTTGACATTATGGAAATGTCTGTCTTGGTCAGCTATGAAACATGAAGAATGGCTTATTGAATTGAGCATTCTAATTCAAC